CCAACAGTTGTTTTCTTTACCTTTTTCCTCCATGCACCATGATTTCAAAGATTGTTTTGGTGTCATTTTAAATGTTTTCTTGTGACATGTACTGACGATAAAAGTCATCTTGACAAAAAAGATTTATACATGAATCAGAAAGTATTTATTTCAATTTTGTACCTTTCCATTTTAATACATTATAATGTATTGACTCAACTGAGATAATATAAACAGTTCATTTTAATAACATGTGTGTGCCTTTTTCTTTATGTATAGTTGGGGCGGGATAGACACTCCTGGGGTGTAAACAATGAGTGCTAACTGGCCTCAGTGTAAGCAGAGGGAGCCCTCCCCTCCACCAGAGGCTTCTGGCCTGAGAGGTGGAAGCAGCTGGTACCTTCAGGAGAGGAAAGGATGGTGAAGCAAGGACAGGAAGTATGGAGGTAAGTGGTGGCCTGCCTGGCAGTGCTGACCCGAATAGCGCTGTACATTGCAGTGGCCTCTCTACTAGCAACACAAGCCAATACCTCACTGGCCCTCTCACTCTGGCCCCTGGATGTGGTCTTTGATGGCTACAAGAGGGGCCTTAAAAGGGAAATCCAAGGACACTAAGCTGAGACATTGGTAAGGAGAACCTGGTATTAAAAATAAGGGTACGAGGGTGAGAAGAGACTAAATAGTTCTGGGTTGTGTTTTATGGATATAAAGTTTTCCTTCCTAATGTGGGAAATCTTGCAGATGAGTCATTGAAGTAATAGGCCTTCAGACCAACCCCAAGGACATCCAGCAGAAATGGATCTTATGCTTCCGTTAGGATGCTTTTTTTTTTTCTTTCTTCTCACTTTTCTTTTTCCATCTCTTTCCTGAGTGCATGCTTGCACATGCATGCCAGTGTGTGTCTATGGACTTCGGAGAACAACCCTGGTTGTTGTTCCTCAGATGACAAACTCAGGTATTGTTCCTCTGGTGCCTTCAACCTTTTGTTTGAGGGAGAGTCTGTCCCTGGCCAGAACCTCACCAAGTATATTATGCTAGTAGCCAGTAAACTGTATGGGTCTGTCTCTTCCCATCTTTCAGCTTGCCATGAATGGGATTGCAACTATGTGCAACTATAACCACCTTTTTATGTGATTCTGAAAATCTGAGCTCAGGTCCTTTCCCTTGTAAGGCAAATAGTTTACACACTGAGTCACCTTCCAATCCCTGATCTGGCATTTTATTGTGATGTTAGGGGAAACACAAAATGTGATAAAATCATACTCCACTTTTAAGTCTTTCGCTGGAAGGTTCACTGAAGGTGGGTAGAGTAAGCACGGAGGCAAGGCAGTAGGGGAGGAGGCGGGCTGTATCAACTGAAACCAAATCTATAGGGCTGCAACAGTTTTTAAGGCATGTTCAGCAAACAGGTGGTGGTAACAGGAATTGTGGACATGATTCTCTACTATGGACAAAGTTCATTTTCAAGCTGTGAAGTTTGGGAAGAATGGGGAAATGCATGACTTTAGACAAAGCCATGTCAGTGTCAGGGTGTCCTCTTCAGTGCAAGTGACTTCTTGGAGAAGAGGAAGTGTGAGCAAGGAAGACAGAGAGAGGTGCAAAAAGAGAGGATGCAAGAGTCCAGGATGCTGAGAGAGGTACACAAGTCTCAACAATTGGCCTAGGGCCCTTGAGATCCTGTTTTCCCAGGCTCCTACAACTTTCTATATGCACAGCCATTTTAAAATATTTACTTTTATTATTTTTAATTATGTGTACGTGTGGGTAGGTGAACTTGAATGCAGGTACTTACAGAAATCAGGAGAGGGCTTTGGATTCTTTGGAACTGGAGTGACAGGTAATTGTGAGCTGCCTTGGATGAGTGCTTGGAATTGAACCTGGGTCCTCCACAGGAGCAAGAATTGTTTTCTACTACTGAGTGAGCTCCAGCCCTATCCATGTATCTTTCTATGCTTCCCTTCCCACATACCCCATTGGTCTTTTCCAGGAGAAACTCTGAAAGTGAAAGTCTGCCTTTGCTTTTGAATATCCCGCCCATTTTCAGTCTTTTCTTCTTAGAACATATGACCCTGTCCCAGGAGGCTGATGACTACACTGTTTCAAGGTTCAAGTCAGTATTTTAGAAGTGAATCAGTTGCCAATAATATAAAATAGTATCAGTCCCACGAAGGGGCCAGTTTGAAGACATGTGTACCAGGAAGATGATAAGAATTCCCTCTGGTACACTCATCTCTAAACATCTTTCCTAAAGTTCTTCTGAACTGATAGTAATTTTTGGCTTACAGAGTTTTCAGCTGTTTAAAGAGGGGCTGGGTTATGAAAGAGATGTAGGGAACTTGCACTCGTGTTCTTAAATTAAAATTCCTCCTATAAGTGGAATGTATTCACCCTCCTAAATATTTGTATCAAGGGAATGATAAGAGACCCTTTCCTTGGTCTTTGCTCTTTGGAAATATGGGTCTGAAATTTAAGATTATTGCTCTGTGCCTATGTGTAATTTTGCCTGTCTTGGTCCATATGAGCTGCTGTAACAAAATACTTAAATTGGCTTTTAGATAACAGAAATGTATCCTTCAAAGTTCTGGAGGCTGAGTCCAAGGTCAAATGGTTGCCAAATTTGGTTCCTGGTTCCCAGATGCTGTCATGTTGCTGCACTCTCAGAGTATGTGACAGGAGGAAAATGGGATTCTCTCCTAAAGGCAGCAATCCCATCCTGAGGTCCCCACTTCGCGATCATGCAACCCCCCTCCCCAGAGACCTCACCTACTCATGCCATCTCCTTGGAGGTGACGGTTTCAGCATGTGAGTAAATCTCATGATAGCAGGTTGGCTCCTTTTCGATGTATAAGAGAAAAATTGAGCTTCATGGTCCCTGGCAGTTGAGGTCACAGAAGGGACCATTGTCAGCAATCCCTGTAGCTACCTGAGTAGCTGCTATCATTTGCCACCCCCCCCACCCCTAGGAGGTTACAGAGCTCTAGCAACCCCTAGCTATTTTGTGTAACGAAGAAGCAAGTATAAGCATACTTTTCTGATGCCAAGACAAGTAGAAATTGAGCCATTCCCTATTTTTGGTTCTCCCTCTCCCTTCATCCATCCTTCTTTTTCTGTTTTGAAGTGTGGCATCTTTACTTTTTACCTCTGAGGTTTGAAAAATCACCTTGATTCAGGAATTCCATGCAGCAAGGTCTTTCTTCCTGGGAACAGCACACTAAGGCTGGTTATAGGAAAGGATATAGCAATCCCTTGCTCAGTCAGGTTCAGCCTATGTATGGGTGAACTCCAATCCCCACCAACCAACATTAATAATGAAAGAGGAATGGTGATGTAAGGCACAAGTGCTTTCTGCCTGGAGAAGCTATCAGGATTTAGCGGAGGCCAGGACAGGAGTTTCACTCTTATAGCTACAGAATATTTTTACATAATGCATGCTGATAATCTCAGGATCTTTCCTGATTGCCTTTTATTTTCACTATGATTAATTTATCGGCTTACCTTTTTTTTTTAATCACCAAGACTAGTTTCTGCTCTAGGAAAAATCATAATAGAAGCAAGAACCATATTGTCCTAATCAACTTGCTTGCGATTCCAGACCTGAACTGAATATATATATATATCCTTTTCTGTCCCCTCCAAACTTACTCATCAAATTCCTCATAAACAGGAGTAAATGGACAGTAGAAGTGTACAGTGCTCCCTAAAGATGTTTTCAAACAAAGAATAAAGGTTTCCAAAGGTAGCAGATGCTGTGATCCACTCACTGGGAACGCCACGCATTAGCCACTCCGCCTTATCCTGAGGAGATCCTCTAGGGAGGAGTGAGAGAACACACAACAAAGCCTGTATCTTCACTGTGTATGAGGAAAGCTCCCATGTGCCCTCCTGCTTGGAAGCCCACCATTCGCCTCAGGTTGGGAGTGGTGATCCAGATCAGGAACCCTGGCCCTGGGAAAGGGTAAACTGGAAAGGCTTTTGGCCACAGGCCAGGTGTTCTAAAAGGGTGATTTGGTCAGACCTAGCCTCATAGTCACATCTTCTACCTTTTCTTTCTTGTTTATAATTCATGGTCAAGCACACGACCCTTCTTGGCTGAATGTTATCAATCTCGTCATCTTACAGGTAAGTAGATGTGGGCAAAGTCAGGTCTGTCGACTCCCAGTTCTGAGCTGTTGCCCCACCACAGCCATTAGACAACACTACTTCCTTCCCTCAGCACATTGCGTCCTAGAAGGGCTGCACTGAATGCAATGGGATCACAATAGAACCTTGTTGGGTCTGATAAAAAGTGGATGTGACCTTCCCAAGAAGAGCCCCTGTGAAGTACAGGGCACTGGTCAGTGCTGAAGACACGGCTACAAAAAAGATGTGAGAAAAGCTAAGGTTTATATGGAAAGTGCACCTTGACAAAGGAAGGGACCCTGAAGGGGGGAAACTATAGGGAAAAAGCAAATAAACCGCTTGGAGGACAGCTGAAGTCACGGGTCTGAAGGAGAAAGGAACGAAAGGTGGGCGGGGCAGAATGCGGCAGACGCTTTCAGCAAATACCAGGTATAGCAGATCGAGCAATGGGATTGGGAAAGGCCTATGGGATTTAAGTCTGTCACAGTGAATGCCACGGAAGAGTTAACATTTCTCCACCGTTGAGCGCAAAAAAAACGCCTTTGCCAGCGAGATGTCTGTTTCTGCCTGCTCTCCTCCCTCCCTCCTCGCTCAGCATTCCCAATGGGCATAGGTAAAAGTGTGAGGAACACAGGTCCCCTTCCACAGTGCCAATACCTTCCTTTTCAGCTGTCCCCAGGGCAGAACCCCCGAACAGCTCTAAGGGTGCTTGCACACCCTCTTTTTAGAGTTAAACTGTGAACTGCTTTTGTCCCACCGGCTCTGGCCAAGCCCTAAAACGAATCTGTCTCTGGATCCTGCAAGGCGGCCCCGCCCCTCAGCTTCACGTGGTCTGTAGAGTCGCGCACCGCTGGCGTCACTAGCACGCGCCCCAGTGCAGTGCAGCCCGGCGTGCGCTCCCTGGGTCTTCTATCTTATCCTGTATTCAGACTCATCGTAACCACTGAGCTCCTGGTCAAAGGCAGCGATCGGCAGATTTGCGACAATGTCGATGCTGGCGGAGCGTGAGTGTCGGCGGAGCTGGGCGACTGAGTGATGGGTTGACGGGCACGGGCCACCAGGGTGACCCGGGGCGGAGGGTGTTCGAGCTCCGGGCGAGGACCGCAGTGACTTCCAGGCCCGCGCGGGACAGACAGCAGTGTCCCCAGAACTCTGGTCCTGGAACTAAAGGCTCGAGTCGCACGTTCACGTGTGTGTTCAGAGGTTCGGGACACCAAGTCTCAGACTTTCTCTTGCGCTAGCCATCGTGGCCACCTGGGAGGATTCTTTCACTTCTCCGGGCCCAAGTGTCTGGGGATTGGTTCCAGAAATATGGGTCCCGTAGCATCGCTTCAGGCTCAGAAATTCAACTGTCCAAGATGTATTGGACCCAGAGAAGAAAAGCGGAAGCATTACAAGTGTCAGACACTGATAAGCCGGTGGCGGGAGTGCAGGCTGCTGAATGGTTCCAAGGGAGACCGAAAGGGTATCCGTGGTTAGAGGCCACATTGCCTCTTTGTCTTTGACACTCGAAGTTCACTAATTCCCCTGCTCAGAGGCTGCTTTTACTTATAAATGATAAGTGTAGCTATGGATTCTTGCCACCAGTAGGCAGTCGTGTGACGCTCACGAAGAACTGGCTTTTAACTTTTCCTGGAAGTTGTGTAGCTATCAGGGAGCATAAACAGATATTTTCATTTTAAAAGATGTCGTTTTAGACATTTTAGAACAAGGCATGTTTGAGTGATTCGTATTCCCCATCTCCCACTACCTTACTGCCACCTCTGACCCCCTTTCACCTCTGATCCCCTTCTGCCTCTCCTGTCCCCCGTTTGTAGTTTCCCCCATCTCTCATTTCATGGAGCACACTGCACATCCTGTAGGCAGCTCAATATTGGACTGGAAAGTGCCATTTCTAGGTAGTTCAGTTGATTCCACCGTCTTCCAGGCAGTTCAGTTGGTTTCTACTTCCATGAAGTCAAGCTATTTTCTGCCTCATCCAGCCTTAAAAATCCTGGTGAGGTTAGTGCATCAATACAGATTGGAGTCTCAGCAGTGTTTTATACAGGGAAGAACAACTGACCTGGCAACCAGTTCCTTTCTTAGCATGGCAATGCATCTTGGATAAGTATGTGACAGGGTTTCCGATGGGAAGGGTAGGCTCCTTACAAGCCATGGTTAGCAAACCCTGGCAGGCATTCTCTAGATATGGATTAGAGGAGACACATGCAGAACACCAGCTAATATGCCTGTCTTTATTGTGTTCATTAGGGAGATAGAGTGCTGAGTATATAACAGTTTGTTGAGCTAGGTGGAACAAGTTTTTGGATCAGCTTCCCCCCCCCCCCCCAGGCATAACACTGCAAATTTGTGTTCAACTCAGCTTGGTTTGTGGTGTTTGTTTTCCTGCCCTATGGTTGTGAAGGGATTCTTGTTTTTGCTAGGTATAGATAGGTAAGGATCCCTACTGATTTTACATACAACATAGTGAGCCCTTTGACTAGGGGCTGTGTTATTTTTCAGTTGGGTTATGATAGGGTGCTTCCGTGAGGGCAGTGGGTGAGCAGTAATAACATTCAACCTCCAGATTCCTTACTTGGCCACAGTTGGCTTTGGGAGTTCAGATTCTTGTTCTGTTGACCTGGTGGGTTCTTTTTCTGCTGTAGTTTCTCCTCAGAATTGCAGCAGTGAAGCCAAATGTGGTGCCCCTGCCTGTGATCCCCAGCATTTGTGGAGCTAAGACTAGAGGATTGCCATCAAGACAAACAATACAACTATAGTGATGAACTTGAGTTCTTGGTTTTTGTGTGTGTGTTTTTTTTAAAGATTTATTTATTATGTGTACAGTGTTCTGTTTACCTGTATGCCTACACACCAGAAGAAGGCCCCAGATCTCATTATGGACAGTTCTGAGCCACCATGGGTGCCTGATAGTTGAACTCAGGGACTGCTGAACCATCTCTCCAGCTTGAACTTGAGTTCTTAATGGTCAGTTATTTATATTCATTTCAGAGGAAAGTTTCCATGGCACCCAAAGCAGTTCCCTTATTTCAGCTATTTGTTCCTTCCTTTCCGTTTTCTCCTTTCCCATTCCTCCATTCATTCATACATTTTTTAATCAGGTACCAGCTATAGGCAAAGTGCTTATTTTCCTTCTTGCAATGAAGCATAAGGATGAAGAACTGGATATGGAACTTAAGGGATATAGAGTGACAGAACATATGAAAGATGGATATATATATATATATATATATATATATATATATTATATATTATATATATCACAGTGCAATAGAATATGAAGTGCCATAAATTATTCTGGAGGTTTTACTAAGAAGGGAAGCATATTATCTGTTAGTCACCATGTACAATTGCCTTTCCCTGAATTGTGTAATAAGAATATGAGTTGATCTGGGCATGGGGAGATGGAGGCAGGAGGATCAGGAGTTCAAGGTCATCCTTAGCTATATAGCAAATTTAAGGTTAGCCTATCACGACATGAGTCTCATCTCACCCCTCACTCAAATAATACCTTTTGAAATCTATAGCACCTTGGTTTGTATAAAAGGTTTGGATTTTACTTGGTTATATTAGGCAGATACTATTGTCCTAGACTCGGTCTTCTCCTCTGAAAGATAGAAAGGTAAGAATATCTCCCTTCATTGAGATATTGTGGAAATTGAGTTTAATATATGTGTAGCATTTAGCTTGTAACATGAAGCAGTGAGCATTGAGGTACCTGCACCTGCTGCTGTGGTTGCTGCAGCTGCCAGTGAGTATGAAGGTGGCTACAAGAGGTGCTCTGGTTGTTGCCAATGACTGGAAGTGGAAGGCTCAAATAGTAGTCTATCAAGTTTCTTCCTTCTTTCCTTCCTTCCTTCCTTTTTTCCCCTTCCTTCCTTTTTTTTTTTTTTTTTTTTTTTTTTTCCTTCCTTTCTTTTTAAAAATTTTTTTATTTTATTTTTTTTCGAGACAGGGTTTCTCTGTGTAGCTTTGGAGCCTTCCTGGAACTAACTCTTATAGACCATGCTGGTCTTGAACTCACAGAGATCTGCGTGCCGTCTGTCTCCCAAGGGCTGGGATTAAAGATGTGTGCTACCACCGCCTGGCAATTTTGCTTGCTTTCTTAAAGGGAATATTTTACTTTGAATTTTGCAAGGTTACTTTATATGCCAGGAGTGTATAGCTACAGGGGAAAGAGCTGTTATTCCCTTGGACATTGAATGTATCCTGTTAAATAGCAAGCATGTACTGACTTGCGTGTGCTCAAGACTGTTGCTGACGAAATACCTTTTCATTTACAGGTCGGCGGAAGCAGAAATGGACTGTGGATCCCAGAAATACTGCATGGAGCAATGATGATTCCAAGTTTGGCCAGAGGATGCTTGAGAAGATGGGATGGTCTAAAGGAAAGGTATCAATCAAACTCTAAAGTATCCGTGCCAAGCTGGGAGATCACAAATCTGAAGACAATCTTCTTAGAGTCTGGGAGAACTTTGCGCTCTAGATCAGTAATTGATTTTGGAGAACTAAATTGTGACCAGGTGGTAAAATTAGACTGGAACATGAATACCAGGTTCTCTGGTTACTGCTATATTTAACATCTTTCTTAGCTTCAGTTCTGTGTTTCCAAGAATGGTACTTAATTTCCTTTGTAGTAGATACATGCTGTCTTGAATCCCTTATATCCCACTCACTCCTGTCTGTAGTGGAGTTTCTAATGTGAAACTATACATCCTGGGTCTGTCAGAGTTGCAGGGCTCTTGCCGAATCCAGTGGGTATAAGGTACCCTTCACTTACCTCACCCTCAGTGGCTGCTTTGTGGAACTTTGTTGTGTAGCATTACTACCCTTTCTCTCGCCTTGTTTTTTTTTTATCACATCAACTACCTCTAAATCATGGCTATCGTCTACCTCTAGACTCTTGAGCTGTGGAGCCAGTTTGCATAGTCTGCTCAGGTGATCTCATTAAATACCTACCATGCACTGAATTATGCCTCCTGGTTGTGATACTTAAGTAGCATCTCAAAATTATTTTTTATTATAAGCCTCTTGTCCCCTCAAATCTTCGCCTTTCCATGTTTTCCTGGTTTTCAAAGGTGGCGCTAACTACCCGAGCATTCAAGCAATGCCACTTCCCATTCCCCATCTGTCCTTTCATCATACAATGGCCAGAAGGGCATTTGAAACTGAACTTTAGATTATGTTGCTCCCTTGCCGAAGGTGTTTCCAAGGATTAAAATCTACATCTCTGCTCCAACTTTGAAGGTCCTGTGATGTTTGACCTCTGTTCTTATATTCTTTCCCACTCACCTAGCTGAAGCCTTCCTGGAGGTCTTTCTTCCTGGTCCTGTAGTCCACCAAGGTCTCTCTCACTCACAGCCTCTGTGATTACTTGTTATTCGAATGACCTCCAAGTGAGAGCTAAGTGAAACCAGGGACATGGAGTGCTCCTCCACCTCCTTTCTTGTCATGTTGCAGTATCAAGTAACAGAGAATGTCCTGTGCTCCACATGCTCCCATAGGCTTCTGCCACTTCCTGTAGCAGTGGCTTGCGCCAGAACATACACATGATATGTGCTGCACAGTGTCTTCATGGACTCTGTCTTAGTTCTTGGGTTCACAAATCAGCATTCACAATTAAGAGTGTAACATTGGTGCTGCAGACATTATCTTCCAGAACCCTCCGGGCCAGTGGTTCTCAACCTTCTATATGCTGTTACCCTTTTATATAGTTGTTCCTATTGTGATGACCCCCCAGTCATGAAATTACTTCATTGCTACTTCATACCTGTAACTTTGCTACTGTTATGAATCATAATGTAAATATCTGATATGCAGGATATCTAATATCTAACCACTGTGAAGGGGTTGTTTGACCCTCAAAGGGGTTGCAACCCACAGGTTGAGAACCATTGTTCTGGGCTGTGTCTGTTTTGAATAGATGGGAGAAGAAAGAGGCAATTTCTCTTTGTAGCTGATAGGGTTATATTTAATCTCTTTCTGTTTAATCTCCACAGGGTTTGGGGGCTCAGGAGCAAGGAGCCACAGAACATATTAAAGTTAAAGTTAAAAATAACAACCTGGGACTTGGAGCTACAAACAATACTGAAGTGAGTGACTTCTGAGTGTTTTCTTTGCTGAGTTATGTCAACATAAACACTGAAATTCTTGCAAGCAGATGGAATGGTTTTTAATCAAGAACAAGGTACCTGCTTTGGGTGAAGAAAGACATAAGAGCACTTGGCTTAGCTTGTCCTCATACTGTGACATGCGTTCACCACCTTGCCTTGTCCACCTGGATCCTTTACTTAGTTATGGCCTAGAGAGGTATTCCTATTTTGTTGCTAAACTTTGTAAAAAGTCTTTTCAAAGACATGTTACTTTCAGAACAGAACCTGTGTCCTAATCTTCACCTGTGTTCTAATACTAGTTTGTTTTATTAATACAGGGTAGCTTTGAGAGTAGGAAGTGATGGAGGAAACCTTGCTTGTTTCTGACTGTTGGTGTTCCTCAGTCATGTGTCCTATTGAATACATACTGTGCACTTGCAAGTCAGCAGCTGCCAGACTTTTCAGGTTTAGTACCCACTGCTCCTTTTCATTCAGAATCAGACCTAGGAGCTTTGTCCTGACCTCTTGTAGCTAACAGAATCCAGTAAAACAAACAAACAAAAAACTGTGACAATAGATTTATGGAAACTGAATTGTTTAGAGTAATTTGGTGTCTTTGACTAAAATAGCTAAAATTTTCTGGAGTAACAGCTAAAATTTTAGCCACTAAAGAAAGAGTTTCTATAAGTTTAATGGTAAATGCTGCTTTGAGAAACAGGAAACATGCTATACTTAAGTTCTTAGGAGAAGCATTGTGTCCCATAAACCTATTTGTACATCTTATCTTTTAAGCTTTCTTAATAAGAAATGCTTATGTAAAGTCACATGGGCAAGTCCTGCTCAGAAACCCTGCTGTCCACTGGTTTGTATTATTTAGAGGTCATTATTAGTGAACACCTTGCAAGTAGGAACTTGTTTATTCAGAGACTTGGGGTGGCCTTCCACAAAGTTCTGTAACGTTGCTGCTGACGCAAGTAGTTAGAATTCAGCAAAATACTCCAAGTTCTGTTGAGCAAAGAGGAGGGCTCTGCTCTCAGTGCCCTTGTCCTTAGCATATCCATGGAGTGTGTCACCTTCCCCCAAGAGTTTTTTATTTTCTTTTATGTGTATGAGTATTTTACCTGTGCATATGTGTCTGTACCACATGCTTACAGTACCCATGGGTGTCAGAAGAAGGCGTGGGATCATCTGGAACTGGAGTTACAGACAGATGTGAGCCACCATGTGGGTGCTAGAAATTGAAGCCAAGTCTTCTGCAAGAGCAGCCAGTGCTCTTATCTGCTGAGTCATATCTCTAGTCCCCAATAGTCTCTCTGTGTGAGAAAATACTGATTTTATATTGCTTTAGTATAATATTTAACACACACATTGCCCATTGCTTTGTTTTTGTTCTGACTTAACTATGGATGAGCCATAAACCTTTGAAATACAGGTTTGAGCTTCCAAGAAGGTTCCTCTAAATATATATGTATATTTTGTTGACTTTGTGGTGCTGGGAACCAAACCTGGGACTCTACATTCTAGACAAGGACTCTTCTACTGACCTTTGCCCTAGACACTCCAGCTTTCATATGGCTCTGCTTAAATTGTATTTCAAGTTTATACTATTTCTTGAATCCAGTGAAAGTTATTAAGTAATATTGCTTGATGTCAGTTGTAGGTGCCACAGTAGAGAGAGAGAAACTCACCAAGATGCTAAGCCTTCATTTTCAAAAGGAGCCTTCTTTAAAAAGACTGACACCTAGCTAGCTCACTCCAGCTACTTTATTCAAACATATACAAGGTTACTTGGACCTGGGAAAGGTTCCAGCTACCAAAGTCATCTTGCTCTTGCTGCCCTGAGAGCAGACAACCCACACAAATCTCAGGCCCTTTTGATTATGGCAGCCATTTTTTTTTTTTTTTTTTTTTTTTTTTTTTTTTTTTGCCAGGAGTGTCTTAGGAGCAAGGTTGGGGCGGCTGCAAGCTCTCACGTAGCACCAAGTGCAGACTTTCCAGAGAGACATTTCTTCAAGCTTTAAGCAGTCTCCAAACAATTTCTCAGCTTCTCCTGATTAACTCAAACATAGCAAAGGCTTTGATGAAACATTTCTCTCAGAGCCAGACACAAAGGCTTTACTATAGATTTCACTACAGAATTATATTTAATAAACATGTATAATTTTATATTAATGGCCAGATTTCTGTTATATGTCTGTGCCAGCAGTACAGTAACTTTGGGCGCGCCTCTCATACTTTCTGTTGCTTCCAGGACAACTGGATTGCTCACCAAGATGATTTCAACCAGCTTTTGGCAGCACTCAACACTTGCCACAGTCAGGAAACAGCAGGTAAGGGCACTAACTCTCCTCCCATCAGACTCACATTTCGCCACAGACCTTTCAGACCCCAGAGTCGGGGTGATGGAAGCAGTTACCAATACTCATGATTCTGTTTATATTTTAATGGCACTCTTACTGGATGAGCTTTTGCCCTCTGATTCATCTTGCTGGTCCTAGAAACATTTTCCGTTGTCACAGCTATGGGCATGTTACTGTGTCTGGTAACGTCCTGCATCATAGACAGCTGTGCCCCACAGCTGTCTGGGAAGAAGCAGCATGCATATTAAGAAAGGGCACATGTCTACATGCTTGTAGACAGTGTAGTAGTTTAACCCTGGAAGCAGTGATGAAGGGCTTCACTTGATAACTCTTCAACTGTATAGGTTTTGAATGTATCTATATGCTGTGCACACATTATGATGAAAGAATTGTGAACATCACTTCTCTTCCTGGCAGACTTAAAGTAAAATACAGCAATGCCAGGTGGTGGTGGTACATGCTTTTAATCCCAGCACTTGGAAGGCAGAGGTAGGCGAATCTCTGTGAGTTCGAGGCCAGTCTGGTCTACAAAGCTACACAGAGAAACCTTGTCTCTAAATAAATAAATAAAATGCAGCATATTTAACATATGTGATGAAAGTTAGCTAAAGACTGACAGATATGGCCTTTGTGTACCGTGAGTATCTGGTGACATCTAAGTGGCATGACTAGGTCATCACTCAAACACGAGATGCCTTTACCAGTGCCCTTATGGACCTTTGAATCTGGGGTCCTTTCTCAGAGATCCCCTCACCCTTGTTCTTAATCAGAGAAAACTGTTTTGCACTGGGTTTGGCATTGTTATGTCACTTAGTGCTTGGTACCTTAGAGAGTGCTTTAACTTTCAGGCCACAGACTTCCAAGAACTGATGTGCTCCAAGGCCTCTTGGCTGGGTTACATAGATAGAGAAGAGGTCCCATCTCCCCAGTCTGATGGTGTCATCACTTATTTCCTAGGTGAGAGGTGCCATTTTAGTAGTGTTGGGACCTGTCTCACTCAGGACAGGCTTCTTTGTCCCACACTGATGGCCAAAGCTGTGCAGTGTCACTGTAACAGCCCCTCCCAGAGTGTTTAAGTAAGGGCAGGCAGTGGGCATTCTGAAGGACCCAGAGGACTGAGGTCTTTGTCAGGAAAGCTGTGACTGACTTCACAAATGACAAAACTTGCCTCCATGGCTAATCTCCATGGGCTTCCTTTTCCTTGGTGCCCAAACTGGGAGTATTTTAAATCAATTCAAAGCTGCAGCAGCCCACCTGTAGATAGCTCCTTTCCAGACCACTAGAGGGGGCCAGTAGCCCTGCAGCCCAGATTATCATTTAGAGATACTTATGTGTGGCTCCAACTGCCATCCAGAACTGGAAGGACTGGAAGGCACCTTCAGAAGATTCCTTTTAGGCAAACTCTCCCTGTTCCCAGAACAGACCTGGACAGCTAACAGATTATTTTCCTGCTGGGCCATCTGTTTTGAAGGCAGTGTCTCCTTCCATGTGATTTTTTTCTTTTTATGTATTTCTTTCTTTTTTAACCACAGTCATGTATTGCTTGCATTCAATGGTAGATAGTATAGGAACCTAGTATTCTTTTCTATTGTTAAGATCCCTTAGTAAATTCAAACGGTTTGCCTTGCAGTTAAGCAGACCTTTTGTTTTGTCCTCTTGTAGAACACAAAAAATCAATTTCATGTTTTAAAAGTTACCTTGTTTTACACACTTGTGTGTAGTAGGTATTTATAATCCCAGCACTTGGGAGGAAGAGGAAGGAGGATCAGAAGTTCAGTGTTAGCTTCATGTAAATAGTCAGTTCGTGGCCAGCCCATGTTACACAAACAGAAAAGAGGTCAGGGAGACATAGTTGTCAGTAAAATCCCTGTTGCCCAAGAGGGAGGACCTGAGTTTAAATCTCCAGCAACCATGCCAAAAAGACTAGTGTGTGGCTATAACCCTAGTACTGGGGAGCAGAGACAAGAGACTCCCTGGAGCTCATTGGCCAGCCACCCTTGCCATTCAATCTGTGAGTTCTAGGTTCAGTGATAGAACCTGTCTCGCATCGTCCTCTGGCCTCCACATGCATGTGTACACTTATGCACCCATGCAGACATCCACATGAACAAGCATATAATCCCACATTCATACGCAGGTGCATGTACACGTGAGAAAAGCTATCCTGTTTCACTTAGGCATGTCCGGACAGGTTCACATTAGCATTTTGATGGCACTTTCTCATAGTTTCTATATATTAACCTTCTGATATTTTGCCGCTCATTATTTTAAATATTTTGGGACAGAAACTGGGGTGCTAGACATTGTTAGATGCAAAGTTATGATTTGAAGCAGCATCCTCAAATTTCTACTCACATACCCCCTGGGAGAATTTTGAAAAGAGTGTCCTATCATGCATTTTTAGATCAATAGCCAAAAGATTTTAAAGGCACAAGTAACATTTGCAAAGACGTAATTTTTGGTTCATGGAGAAAATATTTACATTTTAAAGAAAATTATGCCATCACTTTTAAATGTGCCCCATATGTTGGAAATGGCATTTATATCTAACACTTTTGTAGCAACCCTGAATGCCTGTAGTGAATGCCTGATGCCATCGAAGTTTGATGTCCATTGTCTCTGAAATATTCAAATATGTACCTCTGTAGTGTCAGAAAGGCTATGTTTTATCATTCCTTTCCATTTCACATTCCCCGTTGCATTGTATATTAATATATTTTTTATTCTTAAACTTTTTAAAAATATTTGTTTTTTTTTTTTGAGTTGGGGTCTTATTAGGTAGCCCATGGTAGTCTTACATTCATGATCATTATCCTCTTGCCTTCATCTCCCAAGTACTGTGATTATAAATTTGCATCACTATGACTAGCCTTATTCCCTTTTTAAATTGGTTACATTTCTCTACCACAGCACAGTTAGAACATTTTGTTTCCTAGTGATCTCAACACAATACAGATGCTTTCCTTTGAGTTAAGTTGTCATAATAATTAGTGGATTACAATTAAGACAGCTAGAAGAAAACGCATTGTAAATTCTGACAAATACTCATAAATAAAGCAGGGAAATATCTAGCATTGTGTCTTGATAAGTTGAGAGTCTGGTTATGGGAACCCATATTTAGGTTTCTCATTGATGGCAGATTGAGAGTGGGATGAAGGCATGTGTCCCTCAGCTGGGAGAAATGCTTGTGGACCCCCAGAGATAAACTGATCCTCTGAGCTCAATCCAGACTCTGGTGTCCTTCCACAGAGACATTTGTGTGCAGAAGGTGCTTCATAACCTGAGAGCTCTGGTAGACACATGTAGTGAGTGGTTTAGGCTATGCATGCAGTAACCCATGCTGAGCACTGTCTGAAAGCTGAAGCACCTGTCTTCACAGTGCTCCTAGCCTGCTCTGCTTCGTGCTCTGTTTTGAAATTACTAGGAACACCTGGGGAAGATCATGGCTACCTAAGTGTGACTCAGTGGCCATGTTGGAGTCAACCCACCACTCTTTACTGCAGATGATTAAATTATATTCCAGTATCAGACTGTCAGTATGAGGTCAGCCATATTGAAAGGCTTTTGGGTTACCTTGGTATTGTACTGCTGTGCATAATAAGTGCCATGAATATTCATGTGTAAATTTTGGTATGAAGATATATTTTCATTTCTCTTCTTCAAGGGTTTTATAGACTGGAGAGAGCCTTTCCTGCTCTATACTTTAAAAAAAAAAAAAATCCCAATCCTTTATTAGTAAATGATGACACTCCTATAAAACCATGTATAAAAAAGCTCTCCAGCCTTCGATGAGGAGAATGAGTTACATGGTATCTAATGTTTTTCTTCCTTTTAAAGATTCCTCAGACAACAAGGAAAGGAAATCTTTTAGCCTTGAAGAAAAATCCAAAACCTCCAAAAACCGGGTTCATTATATGAAATTTACAAAAGGTAAGAGCAGGCATTCACTTGTTGAAGTGTACGTTGGCACTGGGTTTCCTGAGGAATTGTGACAGCTGCCCAGGACTGCAGCACTGGCTGCTCATTTGAGGTTCTGAATAGGGAGGCCTGGGCAGCCTGGTGGATTGATCTGCAGCAGCCCTGGCTATCTTACAAAAGTGCAAATCGAGGGGCCAAGAGGAACCCTGAGAAGGCTTCGGACTGGGCAGGTACTGTGTGTGCTGTGAGTGGAAGTCAATGTTCTGTTTAGAGAAAATGGGAATGCTGTATAGCTAGATGAAAAAATAATTTAAATTTCTGTTTTTCTTTTTTTGTTTTTTGTTGCTGTTTTGTTTTTCAAGCTTTTATACTTTTTTCAGTTCTTAGGAGCTTCATTAATTATATCAAAAATCTTCACTGTAATGACTCATAGACCCAAGGTGACCCTTATAATAGTTCACACAAGTTCTCCATCTCATAGAGTATCACTCTAGGCATGCCATGGCCAGGGCGGTGTTGAGAAACAGGGCATTTGGAAATTGGGCAGTAAACCCTGCCTTGCTCACCATAAACTTCCTAGGCCACCTTCTACCTTCCCCTTGTAGCTCACTGTGAGTGCAGCTGTCCTCTATAGCCATTAGGTGGCAGCCGTGTACAGATGAGAAGTCTACCTTGCTGTAAACAAATCTCGGATGTTTCTGCAGAATGGTCACAAACTGTCTGTTCCATGCTACACTTGGATGTCTGTTTCTGCCTCTGTGCTAGGAAAAGCATATCTCTGTGCCTTGGTCTTGGCCTTTGGGGGATTGCTTAACTCCCATAAGCTGCCTTAGTAGCAGTGGCAGACAGAGTCTGACTGGACACTGTTGATAGTAGCTGTCCTTCAGGGCCAAGACCCCAACAACTAGAACTGAGCTTGGAAGAAGTGAAAGGCAAGCAGAGCCAGGGGTTCAGGAGCTCTGTGGGGGAGAACTGGAGTCTCATTCCTTCCCCACAAGTGGTTTTAACTGCTTCCTTGTGCTTTCCCTTTTTTTTTCACGGGTAAACACTCTTTTGTTAGCAGCCTATGAGGCGTCTAACCAGGGCTTATCTCTACCTCAACATAACCTGCTATAGGACAGAAAAGTACTTTACTGTCCACCTAGTTCTTTGGAGGTGAGGAATGGTAGCCCTTAAACAGCCCTTCCTTTTTCATTAGACACTATAGGAAGACTAGAGACCTGCAGAAGGCTGTTGCAGAGCACACAAGTGGAATTCACTTTTAGATGACATGCATGCAGCCTTTCCCCCTTGCCTCCAAATGAATGTAGTCTTCTGATTGTCCTTCAGTCCCTGACTGCAAGCCTGTCTTCATCCAAAGCATTTGCTGAAGTTAGGATAAACCTCTCTAAGCTGCATAATCTACTGGATATTGATTGTGTCTGCTTGCTATTTCTAGTTCATCCACTCCCTTGCTGGTGACCCTGTCAAACTGCTTGATGCATTATGCCTTCCTTTCTCTCTCATGGTGAAGTTTGTATATTTATCAGCTTTGCTTGTGAAGAAAGGAGGCCTTGGTATACAGAGAGGAAAGAGCTAGAGGTATATTATACTAGGGGGAGAGGCAGTGTCAGGGAATAGAGGACCCAAAGGCTGGGAATAAAAAAGGAAGAGAAAAAGGAGTGAAAATCCAGGCAGTACAGGAAACAGCAAGTACCACCCTCTGCACTGTCCAGTGGAAGTTGGTGTTACAAGTCTTACATTTCCTAAAAGCTGATTCTTTTCACTTGGTCTTGTCTCTGGATGTGAATGATAACTATGAACTGTTAGGTTGTCCTAAAGGAGCCTGTCTGGGTCAAAGGAAGCTGGCTTCTGGCTGTTGCCCTCCCAGACACATCCCGAACTATTTCCCTTCCTTCAAATTCTGTTTCCTCTTCTGCAACATGAGGAGGTATTTGCAAGTTGCCATGAAGCCAAGCTGGATTCTGTTCTTGGTTTGTGAGATGTGACCCTTCATTTGAACTCATGCTTTTCCAGCCTTGTGGAAGGAAAGACTTTAATGCTCAAAGTGAAAGTTTCTAGTTCCCTTTGTTAACGAGGATGAGTCACTTGGTAAGTCCCTGTCTGGACAGAAAACTAAAATGTAGGAAGGTGATATTCTCTACAGCCTGCTCAGGAAGTTCTCAGAGCAAGGGTTGGCCATCATGGTGGTGCACACCTTAACTCTCCGCACTGGGGAGGCAGAGGCATGCAGATCTCTGATCTCTGCATCCAAGGCCAGCTTGGCCTACACAGTGAGTTCCATGCTTGCCAGGGCTATACTGAGACCCTGTCTTAAAGAAAAACTACAAAGTACCTGTCCAGAGCAAATGGTACTATAATATCTGCTACTGCCTAAATGCTGCTTACATCATTTTAGTCCTGATGCACAGTTACTCTTTGTGTAGCTTCTACTTGGTTTTTTTTTTTTTATTTGAAATAATTTATTTTATATTTTTAACTTACTGTCATCCATATTTGTTTAAAATATAGCTCCTCCCACAGTAAGACTGTGGTTGTAAGGGGCATTGCTTTTATATTTAATTTAGTCTTATTGACTGAATTATGAAAATGAATTTTGAAGCAACTGAAGCTACCCAAATAAACCTGTTTTTTAATTTACAAGTATATTTACTAAACCCGGCATTTCTTTATGTTTGGGCTACAGCTATATTTCATCAGTCTTCTATGTATTACAGTTCATTTGCTTCCCAGGTGCCAAACTGGAGGAAGTTGGCATTTGTCGACTCTGGGAGTTACACTCCCACTGTGATTAGCTGGAAAACTTGATAACCGAGATTGATAACTAAATAGCTAAAGCTGTTCTCAATATAGTATTTTTCTGTGAAACCCTGCACCCAGCCTAATGCCATATAAATGATTCAACCAGGACCATTAGCTGACTCCTAAATTTCAAAATCCTACCATCTTTCTATTTAACCACTTACAGGTTTCTTTTTTAATGGACTTTGGCTCTCATTTCTTCTTCTTTGTGTTCTTGTTTTCTAGATTAAATCCAGAGCAAGTCCTGTATAGCCCTAGTTTCTACATTCACTTAAGTGAACTTTGCTAGAGGATAGGAATCTTATCCAAGAACCCATACCAGAACTCTGGAAACCCTAGCACCTCATTTGAACACTTCTACTGGCTTGGCAGCTCCCCTTTGGATCTGAGATTTGTTTTGAATCTCAATGTATTTGTTTTTTCACATAACTTGTGAATTGTAGCCCCCTGTTTTCTCCTTTGACCTTTTGTATTTAGTGAAATTGTTATAAAAAGAGGTTTGAGTTTATGTTTCTTTTAGAATAGCTCCTGATTTTAGGGACTGGGTTAAGGGGAGCTGGTCAGTGATTTGGGGGTTTTTGTTTGCTTTGACATTGGGGTTTCTTTCACTGTGTGGTATGCTGGCTTAGAATATTTGATCCTCTTGACTCTGTCACTGAGTGCTTGGATTACAGTGTGCATCCTCACTCTTGGTTTCTGATGCTCATTCAGAGAGAGTGAAACTGACTCTCTTTTCTGGGATACAACTTCCATAGTTAATTTGCTTTGCAAGAAAGAAATAGATTGCACTGGACAGCCGAGAATATGTCTCTACTTCCCAAGAAGCTGTCCCTTCTCACTGCTGCAACTGCAAGTTGTCTTTGCTACCTCTCTGGTTTTATTGCCTGTGCTACTGTTTGTGATAAGCATCACTGTCCTTAGGTGGCTTTTGGGCTTTTTGAATGGGGGTTCTAATGAATCTGGGGTGGAAGGAAAGTGACATTGAGAACCTTTCAGTCCCTCGGGAACAGGTCATGCCAACCGTGCTGTCTATTCAGGTACCACTGCCTCTGAAACTGGTTCTGGCACCTGGTTTTGCATCAAATTGAAGGGCGTTTTGTTTTTTCAATTTCATGGAGTCACTGAGCAGTGTCATATTTGAATGCCCCAGTGCTAATCAGTGAACCAGAACCTTCTAGGTCATGACATTACTTTGTCAAGTCAGTGTGCTGCAGAAAACCAAGAGCAATAAGCTGGTGACTGGAACTTGGCTTCCAGCTAGAAACCCAGATTCCTGTATGTGACCTGACCTCTCTTCCCAGCTTAGCCGGCTTCACACGGAGAGTTGAGTTTTCAGATGCACTTTCCTTGAAGTTGATGGATGGGAATGGATTTGGCTGACTGCTCAGAGTACTGTTGAGTAAAAGTAGAAATTCCAAAGTGAATTTTTAAATTAGTGGTTTGTAGGTTTGTAATTGAGCTTGTTTAGTTTTTAAAGTAGGAATCATAGATTCTTTGGCCACTGCTATTGCCAGAACCATTTATTTCCCTGTTGTCACCATGTGGCTTTCTGTTTAACCGGTAGAGCTGTTAAAAGTAAGAAGATTTCAAAAAGAAAAAACTAAGCTTTGATTTGCTTTTATTCTTTTTAAAGTTTCATGTAGTTATTATTGAGGTCTTGTGTGTCAAAAATTAGTGAATGTGCAAGTATTTGAAGGGTTTGGGGCTGTGTGCCTGTTAGGGTTTTCAGTCTGCGTTTTGTAACCATCAGTAAATCACTGTTTCTCTTGGAAGGGAATGCAATTGTTTTGCAGATAGCAAACTCAGGAACCTATAAGTCCCACCTTGATGGCAAAGCCAGCAAGAGAGTCACTTCTAAGCGGAGCTTTCTGTGCAGTCTGTGTGCCAGGTGGTTTGCAGTCAGGAGGGGACTGTTCTGGTCCTGAGACAGTCACTGAAGCTTTAATTATGGTCTGTGTTGCACTCAGAGTTATGATGTGAGTAGGTTAGAGTAAACAGCTGACCCTCTGCTACCAGCCTTCTGTCTTTCAGGAGTGACATTTCTACGTGTGCTTCCCATTTCCAAACAAATGGTCTTACTGAAAAGCTCTGTGTTGTTTCTAGGGAAGGATCTGTCCTCCCGGAGTGAAACCGACCTGGACTGCATATTTGGGAAAAGGAAGAGCAAGAAGACTTCTCAGGTACCCAGCTACAGGTTGTGATGCTGTTTGTGTATTCTCATTCAGTCTCTTCCCAAGGGTATAGAAACTTAACAGACAACTGCTTGTCCTCCACTCCCACTCTTAGCCACTAGATCCTGGGGCAGAGTGGGCAGTGGGTACACTCTCCATTGTACATTATGGCTTGTTTCAAAACTGGAGGAGACAAATGAAGCTATAATTCATAACCCTAATGATTCCATTGGGCTGTATATTACACAAAACTTTTGCACTATTTCCAAATGTAAGAGACATCCCTATATATCATTCTAATGTGAAAGCACTAGAGATTTTAGCTGGATTTCTGGAAGTAATGAGATTTGTTTTATCTAACAAAATCTGGACTGTATTGTTGACTGCAGTTCCTCAGTGAACCTGGTTTGTTATGATTATGTTCCTTTATTGGTTCCTGGCCAAGGTCCATGGTGGCCATAGAACAGAAAGACAATTTTCACTAATCTCTAGCATTTTTCCAAACTGGCAGGTGTCTTTTTTCCTAGGGCAGTAGATATTTGTTACTCTGTACTAGTTTATTAACTGGAGAATGACCTATGAGAGGCTTTGTTCAGCAATTTCCTTTGCAGGTTAAGGCTGGATTCATGGCTTCCCTAGCCCCACTCTGCCCCGTTCTTTAAGGAGGGTAAGCGTGGAAGAAGCTGTTTTATAGAGCTCCCAGTGGCTGCTGAGTTATGTGGAAAGTGGCCTGTCCTTAGTGGTGATGTGCTCTGATAGTGGAAGAAAACAGCTAATTAATTTACTAATTAATTATTTTTTAGATCAGAGGAGATGATACAATAGATAAGTAGAGTTAAGATCCCCAGAGCCCACATAAAGAGCCAGGTGGGTGTGGTAACCCACCTGTAATTACAGCTAGGAGGTAGCTTGGGGGTGGGAAGGTGACACATGCCACGGGGAATCTCTGAGCTGTGCTGGATAACCAGACTGCCCGAGATAGCAAACTGAATGAGGGACTCTGCCTCATTATGCAAGGTGGAGAGGAACAGAGGAATATACTCAGTGTACCTCAGGCTTCTATTCGTCTGCACACATGTGTGAAGACATGTGCTGACAGGCAGGCAGGCAGGCAGGCAGGCGCACGCGCACACACACAAACACACACTCACACACACACACACACACACACACACACATTGCTCATATGAGAAAGAATTTTCTTCAGTCTTTGTAGCTGATCCAGGTGAGGACTGAAGTGTGATTAGGAACCTGGGTTATGAACACCAGAGAAGCCCTGTGACATGGCTGTACCATGAGAGCTGCTCCACTGTCATGATGTGGCTGGCCTTCATAGCCCTCCAGGTGTCACACAGTCACCAGTGGAGCTTGCTGGCCTGCAGATTCTGAACTCTGCTTGTCTGTGGAGTATCTGGGTGTTATTAGTTCACATCCACACTGAGGAGGTAGACCCATATGTACAGCCACGTGCATAGAGAAAACAATCTAACTATGCTAAGGACAGCAAACAAAAGTTTCCCTATGCAGAGTCCTTCTGTCTTGGATATATGTTGGACTTGTCTTTGAGTTCTGGGTCCAGCTGCACCTTCCTTGAATAGTGTTGCTAAGAAACCTTACCATGTTACTTACAACAGTCTGCACAGCCAAGGGCAAAAGGTCTTTGATCAGATTGGTTTGAAAATACTTCTTTTGGCTCCTCTTCTCAGTTGGATTATTGTGTTTTCCTCCCTTGACCCTCATAGCAACATTGGCTTGCATTTATGTTTTGCCAAACATTGTGTCTAATGATTTCATTGTATCTAGTGAAGAAATCTATCTACTGTACATGTGGACTTTGTCATCTGTCAAATAAATGTAGGCAGGACAGTGAACAACTTAAAAAAGACAAGACTTGTTTTGTATCCAGTTCTGGGTTCCCAGCATGTGCTCTGTCCAGTATGGCACATGGTAGGGGGTTCAGTAAATGAAAACCTCTTTTTAAGAATTGGGCTTTAGTTGTTAAATATTTTTTAAATGGAACCCTGCATAACTTTGGGGCTTGTATTAGAAATGTGTTTTCCTTTAGGAGATAGTCATCAATCTGCTCTCTGTGTCAGGTGTCCATAGCATACTCTTGAGAGGGGACTATCTAATGAGTACTTGCTTGTGCTACTTTGTTTTATAATTTCAGTACAGTTTGCTAAAAATCGGCCTTCAGATGTTGTGTCTCAGGCTAGAGTGTTTCCTAGCTGTCCCTGTTTCTCATTGCCATGGAAGTTAAAGCCTCTGTCACCACCAGGCCTCTGCTCTGACTTTTCTGCAGACTTTATGGGGGTTAGCATTTCTTCCAGCTGCAGAGGCTGTTGGGAGGAGCACAGTTTCTGGCTGCATCTGACTATTCAGAAGAACTAGTTTAATGCATGAAGAACATCACACACTGCTATTACTCAAGAGAAATGTTAGTAAATTACACAGTGATGGAATGGATATCTGGTTTTCAAGTTCTTCCTTTCCCCAACTTGGTGCTGTATTAATTGAGAAATAGTGAAGCTGAAGCGAGTGCTCCCTAAATTGGATCTACCTGCATGGAAACAAAGAAAGATCCAATATACTGAATTGAAATTACCTGGGCCTTAGGAGAAGCTTATTACTGCTAGGAATTGTGTGTATGTTCTCAGTGGGGGGTATTGGAAGGTGGCGTGTGTGTGTGTGTGTGTGTGTGTGTGTGTGTGTGTGTGTGTGTCTCACAGATTTCAGATTAAAATGGAGACCCTGAAACACAAATTCCATTAGTTCCTATCTGGTTGAACTTCCTGATACTCCCTAGTTTGTTCCCCCTCTCATTTTTTTCCCTCCCCCACCTTCCCAGTTTCCTTCCTCCATCCAGCTTATTTCCTGATTCAGCCTTATCACTAGAGAAAATACTCTGAAACCATATCGAGGGTTGGAAATGTGTTACTAACAGTCTCACTTTGTTTCTTTAAACAACAGGCCTCTGGCATAGGCTCTTGGCAAGTAATTATCCGTGTCTTCACCATATGACCTGACTGAATTAAACCCTGCATTTCTTGTGTACACTTACAATTCCTAATTAATGATGACTTTCTTTGCACAACTTCTTTGAAGTCTGTTCACTATTTCATGTTGCACCTCCGTTTTGCTGTGTCTTGCTGATCATTAGATTGGAAAATTGCTTTCAAGTAGATACTTTTTATGGGTTTAATTGGATTCATGGGGCATTTTAAACTATTCCAATTTTTTTTTCTGGTTGGATGTAGTAGTACCTTAAATCTCTTATGTGAAAAATGAAGTTAAAATAGTTCTTACTTAAAATGTATTTGATTGGAGGCTTGTGTATCCATTCATTCTGGACTCCATGCTAATAATCTGTTCTAGTGAGCTAGGTTGGGTTTGATAAGTAATTGAAGGATGTGGCTCTCCCTTTCTGTAACGTCTTATGGCCACTTTGGTCATGCCCACCCTGTCCTCACTGCAGAGCTGGGCACCAGAGAGCCAGTCATTCCTGATCTACTAAGAACTTTTCAGTTGGAACAAATCTGGCCTAAGTCCATAAGCATGCAATGTAATACAGTTGAGTTCTACAATTGATTCTTCTCATCAATAATGATTTCTGTAATAATAGTCACTATTTCATTATGGATAACAGAATCCAGATCCAAATAGTCTAAGTTGGAACATTTGGTCCAAGTTTTTCTACCTCTTTTAGATAAAATAGTGAGATGTGTAAAGTCTCACTGAATCATTACATTAGAGGGTGGGACATATAGCCTGACCCCAAATTAACCAAGACTGAGACTTGAAGCATGACATCGGCCTGAATGTGGGCAGGGGCTTCTGTGGAAGGGTTTTGCCTTTTGCTTGTTTGTTCCCTACAGTCTAGCTGGTTGCCTTTAGGCCTGGGTGCCATAATTTCTGGGATGTATGTAGTACACTGGAACAAGTAACAGAATTGGGTGTGATTTGTAGTGAGCACAAAAGAGAGCTTGTGGGGGTGATGGAGAGTCTGGGGATGATGAGGAGTTGGGGACAGCTGCTCAGGGAGTGAAGTAACCCAGACTGACCACTGGCTATCAGCTAAGGATGCAGCTGTGGGCTGTTTCTAGCAGGAAGTACTGTACAGGTAAAAGTGGCCAAAATCTTTGATTCTGGGGGGCAAGCACATGGAACCACCTGTGTGACTTGCTGCTGGCATCCAAGGTGTTTCACATTTTCCTGATCTGCCAGCAACCATTATTTGATTTTTCTTGTTTCTCATAGTGGACAACTGGGCTTTGTCCAGTTACCTTCTTTCTCCAAAGGGTGGATTGAAAGATCTTGAATAGTTGTGCAAGACAATGAGTGTCAAAGATAAAGTAGTTGTCTACGATATCACCAGTTTATCTGTAAGCTCAGTTTTTTTTACCTCTGAAATAAGACAGCTGAATCATATGTTCTGGTGTCATATTCTGTTTGCCACTGAGGACCACAGTGCATCCCATTGTACATGTTCTTACATGTTCACCCTGTCACCTCCTCCTAGGACAGTGGAGGCCAACTGTCCTTGGGTAGCTTTGATATGCTTGCAGCCAATAGATTGGTTGTGGGAATGCTACATGGCTTGGAGGCTGTATCAATGAGAACATTTGCTTGAAGTCATCCACCTTGAACTGCTACACCAAGAAACCCAACACCCACATGGAGACCCTGGTCTTGCTAAATGGCAGGAAAAGCTACAGAGAACTGGGAGTAGAGGCAGGCTTTGAGGGCTTCTGTGCTTCTGGTACAGAAAAGACCTCAAAATGCAGTGCTTGCCAGTGTGACTGAGTCGTCTTTGTGTCAAGGGAATGAGGAAAACTGTCAAGATGCATTCTAAGATGCATAAAACTGCATCTCCTATGCTGAGATGACGGTAGAGCACTTTTGTGTCTGCTCTTACAGACTGCTAGTTGTGTCTTTGGCTTTACTGGGAAGCCAAGAAGGTTGGTAGTGTCCCATGCTTGTGTATGGAATTGTATAGCCTGCCACTTCCT